TGTTGTTGAATCATTTTTGTTAACGTTGCTGCAGTTGTTGCTCTGCTGTGTTTGTTGTTGTTAGATGTTGTTGTTGTTGTTGTTGTTATCATTTTTGTCGCTGTTGGTGGAGGCGTGGCCGGTCCCGCTGCAGTTGCTGGAGATGTTTCTGCTATCGATCTTGAATCGTTAGTCGCTGTTGTCTTAGTGTTTCGAAGTTGCCAGAAAGAAGCAAATCATATATAGATTTAGATAGCTTATCCATGTACGTAATTTGGTGACTTAACGGTCTCTCCAGATTCCACCAATAAAAAACGTCAGTTTGGCGGGTGCTCTTGTATGGTCTGCTCCTTCTTTCCTATCAAACATCTATTGTTCTTATTTCTCCACCTTTTTGTGTTCATTACTCTCTTGTAACACCTCCAGTGCACTTGTATGACCTTATTGTTTTGCAAGTGCCTTAAAATGTTTACTAAAAATGCCACTGTGTCATTACGTTACTTATGCTAACTGCACACAAGAGTACACAATAGATTCATTGACGCATCAGAATAGACCATGCCCTGTGCAAGAATGTTTTAATTGATTTCATTTCTCTCACTCAGCCTGCATTCTACTGTTGTTTTCTCCCTCCCCCCCCCCTCAAGAATCTTGGCCACTTCAGTTTCAGTTTTGAAAGAGTTTTAAGGAGTTCGCTACCACGTAAGGTCATATGGGCGCACCCCCCCTCCCATAAGAAAAAAAACCCCAAACAATTAATCGGATGCCCCTCCATGAATTACCCACAATCGAATCTTCTTCTCTCTTTCCATCCCTCTCTTGTCCTCTCTACTTTTCACTCTCTCCCACACACACACACTCACACACAGACACACACACATACATACACACACAATACATGCACACACTCATAAAACACACACACACACACACACGCACACACACACACACACACACACACACACACACACACACACACACACACACACACACATTCGTCTCTCTCTCACACACACTCTCTCTCTCTCTCCTTCTCTCTCCTTCTCCCTCTTTCTCTCTCCTTCTCCCTCCCTCTCTTGTATTCTTCTGACCATGTATTGTATGTGTCACTTCACCTTCGGGTTTTCTGCCCCGTCTCACCGAAATCTCTCTCATTATCTGTCTCGTTATCTTTCTCGACACTTTTCACGTTCGTTATCGCCTTCGTAAAATACTTGACCGGCAAGTCAGGGAGATAGTGAACGACATAAATATACACTCTAGAGAAAAGAGGATTATGCTCTTTTTTAGTCTTTCATACTTGATCAACGAAAGGGCGCGGCTGAGGGAAGTGGGGGGGCGGGGGGGGGGGGGGGGGGGGGGGATTTTTATGTTTGAAGGAATTTGCATTTGGGGGCTTTGCCGGACCTTGAATTGTTCACCTACCTGGAAAGTGTCATCAACAGGTTAGGGGCACTAGAAGACGACATCAAGGTCAGAATCCAAAAGGCAAGAGCAGCATTCATCATTCTCAGGAATATATGGATGTCTAAGGAACTGGGATTGAACACCAAGCTGAGGATCTTCAAAACAAACGTGAAGACTGTTCTACTGTATGGTTCAAAGACATGAAGGCTCACAGCATCAGCAGCAAGGAAACTGCAGAGCTTCGTAAATGGATGCCTACGAAGGATAGTGGGGATCAAGTGGTACGATCGAGTCACTAATGCTCAACTGTGGGAGAGAACAAGCCAAAGGCCAGTAAAGGAAGATATTCAGGTGAAGAAATGGAAATGGATTGGACACACCCTGAGGAGACCCCCGACAAGCATCATCAGGCAGGCTTTAACGTGGAACCCACAAGGAAAGCGTAAGAAGGGAAGACCAAAGATGACATGGAGGCGAGCGGTACAAGCGGAAATTGAAAAAGCGGGGACATCATGGAAACAGATAGAAAAGGATGCTCAGGACAGGCTTCGCTGGAGTAATGTTGTTGATGGCCTGTGCTCCACTGGGAGTTAAAAAGGGCAAGAGAGAGACAATGAGGCATGCTGCAATGCAGAAGGGTCAAGGCAGCAAACACTCAGGCCACATAGAATAGGGAAAAGGCACCTCTAAAAAAGTTTAATCAAATATCATCCCAATCATACATAGTCTAGCTCCTCCTCCCCCTCTCCCCTCTGAAAATATATAAAAAAAAACCGTGGGGGGGGGGAGTTTTTTTCTAAGTGGGGGGGTTTTAAAAAACGGGGGGGCAAACAAAATATTGGGGGGGGAAAAAAACTCCTTTTCCCCCCCGGAAAGAGAAACAGACCCCCCCTCCAAGGACCTTCTTTCCAATAGGGGGGGGAAATATGTTGGGGGAGAGGAAAAAAGATCTTTTTTTTTTTT